ATATATATATATATATAAAAGCCACAACAACAGGGGAGTAGAGGAAGAAAGAAAAAAAAAGAGAAGAACAGAGGAAGAAGGAAATGAGGAAGAAGTCGTCGCCCATCGCCGTCACTGTTGCTCTCCGTCGCCCATCGCCAACACAGTTGCTTTGTGTGTATACATATACACATAGATCTGTGTGTATACACAACCCATCGTCTCTTATCCTCCCTCTTCTCTCTTCCCTCTTCTCATTGTTTCAGAGAGATAAGAGAGGAGGAAAAAAAAATCAAAACGACGTCGTTTTGAAATTCGGGCCAGTCGAGCCTCGAAAATTTCGAACTACCAAGCTTTATTCCCAAATAAATCACTATGTGATGATGACTTATAATTGCATTTACATACAGAGATAAAATAATAATAATAAAAAAAAGCAATGATAGAGAGATCTAATATTTAAGCTCTAAAGAGAGCTCTACACATGTGGCAATGAAAATAAAGAAACATGCTATGGAGGTCTAATTCTTGAGTTCTAAAACCTGCTTTAATGAGTTGGCAGTGGGCCCCACCCACTGTGATGTGATGTTTTGGTCTTAGTTTTTTTTTCTTTCTTTTCCTCTCCTTGCCATGTCATTAGTGCTCCATTAGAGCATCAAAATTAGTGCTCCAAATCATTGCTAAAAAATAAATAAATAAAACAACAATGATACATTCATCTAAAACTAGAACTCAATTGAGCTCTAGTGAGATAAAGTTTTAAAAAAAAAAAATAGGCCAAAACGTTACATCAGATGGGCCCTACATATACATTAAAGTTATTAGAACTCACAAATTAGAGTTTGAAAACATTTTTGATAAAACAAGCACACAAGCACACAAATCACATCACAGGTGAGCCCCACTTATTTAGAGCTCCTCTAGAACTCTCTTTCTAGAACTCTCAATCTTTATTTAAAAATAATAAATCAAGGTTTTAGTTTAAGTTTTTTATTATTAAAATTTTGTAAGATAAATATATATAATATTTTCATAATAATTCGAATCCCCCAATGAGACATTTTCATTCTCTTTACGAAATTTTTTAATTCTTCACAGAAAAATTTCTGACATTCAAAAAAATTCTAGACAAAGTCTACAAAAAGAACCAACGTAATCAAGGGTTCAACCAACTAGGTCTAGCCTAGTTGACCACCATGCCTTCCTTAGGGCTTAGTCTTAAGGAGGTCATGGGTTTAATTCCCCTTAGGGGAGTTGAATTAAGGGAGTGCAAGCACCTAGGTGCTTTGCTAAGGGTGGGGAGATTTTCTCCCATAAGTGTTAATCTAACAACAGCAACTAGCATTTGCCGATAAAAAAAAAAAAAAACATAATCGAGGGTTCATCTCTCTCTCTCTCTCTCTCTCTCTTCAATTCTCACTTTACACGCATTTCCTTCTTTTTCATCATTTCCTCAACTCTCGCTATCATTCTCTCCTTCCCAGCCTGGTATGCGATTTCTCATTATTCCTTAGTTTTTATTTTTCTTGATCTTTGTATTTGATTTGATTTGATTGATGAATCTTAATTAATAAGAAACAATATATTGAATAACTCTTATTATTCAAAGACGAAGAGGATAGATGTTTTCACTAATTTTCTCATCATTTTGGTAAATATTAATGTCAAAAATATATGAAGGAAATTAAACAAGTTAAATACAAGATGAGTTTGATTAGTTTTGATTCGTTTTATCACCCTAGTCATATAAGTATGATCAGTGGCAGAATCAGGAAATTAAATCAGATGGGACACTTATTAATTATAACATTGAAATTTTTTATAGAAATATTTCACGTAAATTTTATGATTGAATTCGAGAAAGATCAAAAAAATAATGTTATTTGTAACTAATGTATCATGGACAATAATTTTTTTTTTAAAAAAGTGTCATGGATATAAGTCTTACAATAAATTATATAATGATAAAGTAATTTTTTATACAAAATTTGAGTAAAAATTCAATATAATGGTAATACCACGCCATCATTGATATGTGATATTATCAACCAATAATAAGAAACACATGGAGGGTGAATCCCACATGTTAAATGTTACTAACAATTCAATAAATTCTGTATCTTTATTGTGAGATTAATTATGCTTGTATGTCAATAATGATAGACATCATCGTTACATTAAAAAAATTTCATAAAATTTTCATTAGATAATAATATGACTTATCATAATCTCTTCATTTTTAATTAAAACAATCATTATTATTCTCATAATTTTAAAAATGTCATTGACATTTCATTCTAAATAATATTTTTATAATTTCTTTTATTTAAAATAATTTTTTATGTTTGTTAAAAAAAAAATCCAAAACCCAAGGGGACATGTGACCTCTCTGGCACCTCTATACCTCCGTCCCTACGTATGATTGTTGAAAATTAATAACATTTATTTCTTATTCAGTGTAAAAAAATATATCTAATAATAATAATTTGCTGGATTTGGTGAGGGAAAGGATTATAAAATATAAGGGAAATCATTTTTCCTTTGTTTGTTTGATTGTTTGCCTATAGAAGACAGAAGAGCAACATATATATTTTTTTAAAAAAAATTGAAGAAATTTTGAAAATCTTACTGATCTAAATATTATTTTGTTACAAATTCCTTCTCTTGAAACAAAGTTGGATTCATAAATACTCCACAAAGCTTCTATATTTTTGATTGGGCTAGGAAAATGACCCATGAACCCCAAATGGCACTTGCCCAACATGGATTCGATGATTCTATCGGCTTTGAAATGACGCGGTAAAGTACCTACTGTCAAAAGTGGCTCTAATTAGCTATACTTTTGTGCGTCTCGATAGTGTGACCCTTCCTTTGGTACGAGCAAGAATGGCGCCCTTAAATTTCTCCTCGAACGGGGGCTGGGGTCTGGGTTTGGTTAAGCTTGAGTCACCCCTTTTCTTTCTTTACTAAAAAAAAGTAGTACAACTAAGACCACCCATTTTCAAATAATTCTACATACGTGATTAGTTGTAAAAAAAAGATATTTAACCATCCAATCATATTTGAACATGTATGTTTTTACTAAGATTATTAGTAAGAGTTTAAGTAAATGTAACATTGCTCCCCATTTTTTAACGGTAAGGAAAATCTTACTTACTCAACTACTCTCATTTTCTCTTAGTTGGTGTGCTTCCCGAAAGTGGACGATTCAACTAGTATAATTGCTTGAACTTTCAATCAATGCATACATATATATATATATCTTCAGAAATTCATATGTTTACCAAGTATTGATGCTATCTTTTGGCGGTGCTTAATTTGAAGCAAAGATGACTAATCACAGTATATATACTACTGTTAGGTTTTTATTCTTGGCAATCCCGTTTGACAAAACTCCTTTCAGATATAATTTTGTTCAACTTTGATTCTAGTGAGGCTATGAGTTTTTAGATGTGAATCCAACCCGAATTGTGCCTTGCAGAGAAGTTTCAGCAGTTAATTCTTTCATGTTTGCCACTTCACTGACTATGACGGGGATCGAGCTACCCGGTTAGCTCACGAGGGTCCTGGGGGCAGCGCCCTACAAAAATGCCTTCAAAGTTGCTAGTCCACTCGAGCGGGCATTCCTACGCTTAAGCGGAGAACGTTTGGTTCCAGAAGTTTGACCTGTCTGCAAAAGTATTGGAAGTTGACATTTTACGCTCGAGCGGAATTTCTCTGCACTTGAGCGAGGTCCGCTCGAGTGGAGATCGCGGAACAAATTGCTATAAATATGTGTTTCAGTCAGATCTTAGGGTTACAGCTTCGAGATCTTCTTCTTGGTTATTACAGTTTATATCTGGAGCTATTTTGCTAGTTTTCTTTGATGTTTGATTAAGTATTCAACTCATGGTTTAAGAAGTATACATCAAAGGATTGTTTGTTTATTCAATACAAAAAAGAGAGTTGTTCTTCAGTGGATTCTGGAGAATTCGAGCTTGAAGCTTTGGTGGAATCTAGAGTGGCTCATCGTCGTGGATTCGACATCGGCGTTGTGGATTCGACATTGGACAAGACAATTCTGAGGTGAAGATGGGGTTGGAAGAGGCACATAGGGGTCGGTTTGATTCGGGCATGGATTCGTTAGGTAATTGAGAGTACACTTGTGTAATTACTTTATGTTTTCTTAATTGATTGTTTTGTGGCTTTTGCCCGTGATTTTTTTTTATCACAATTGGAGGCACTCTTGTTGTGGTTTTTCCACGTAAAATTGTTGTGTCGATTTATCGTTGATTATTTGATTGGGATTGTTATTAATTGTTCAAAATTGTTACATAATCACAGATCAATATCTAGAGGATTTCTAGATTTTTCAACTACCATCTTTAATCTTACTTTTTCTTTTTCTTTCATTGCTTTCTCAATTTGTTTCTCTTGAAAGCAATAGATTCAATTCCAATGACGGTAATTTCGCCACACGGTGCATTGAATTTGAGAGGAAAGCCCTTCTTAAATTCAAAGGAGGACTCACAGATCCTTCTGGACGGCTTTCTTCTTCGGTTGGCAAAGGTTGCTGTCAATGGAAGGGTGTGTGAACTGCAACAAACACATTGGCAATGTTTTCAAGATTGACCTCAAAAACCAAGGAGGGATTCTTATAGTTTGTATGAACTTGCAGACAATTATAACTCCTCATCGTGTTTGGGAGGTGAGATAAGTCCTTCTTTGCTCGACTTAAAATATTTAAGTTACTTGGATCTAAGCATGAATGATTTCCATGGAATCACAATCCCAAATTTCATCGGCTCACTTGAGAAATTGAGTTATCTCAGATTTTCTCAATCAAATTTCAGTGGAATGGTTCTACCTCATCTTGGAAATCTGTCAAACTTGCAATATCTCGACCTCTCTGTATTTGTTTTTTACTACAATCTTTGGGCATCGGATTTAAACTGGCTTGTTGGCCTATCTTCTTTGAAGTATCTTAATCTTGGTAGTGTGAACCTGAGTGAAGCAACAGATTGGTTGCATTAATTAATACCATGCCCTCCTTGTCTGAGTTACACTTGTTTGATTGTCATCTCCCCAACTTTCCAAAAGCTATACAGAATATAAATTTTACTTCCCTCTTGGTCCTCGATCTCTCTTTTAACGAGTTTCACTCTTTGTTGCCTCTATGGCCTTTCAATATTAGTACTCTTGTGGAATTCAATGTTAGTTTAAACAATTTTACGAGTTCCATTGTCAATGCTGCTTTGGGAAACTATAGTAACCTGCAATCACTAGATCTATCTTCTAGCTCAGTTAATGGTGACATAAGTGAACTTTTAGAGGGATTGTCTGGGTGTTGTAACAGTAGCTTGAAGGAGTTGATATTGGGGTCCAACAAATTTAATGGGAAGTTGCCCGATTCGTTGGAACACTTGAATTATTTGAGATCCCTTGTACTGAATGATAATCTGATCTCAGGTCCAATTCTAGAATCTATTGGAAGGTTGTTTTTTCTAAAGGAATTGGACCTTTCTTTTAATGAGATGAATGGGTCTATCCCTACAAGTTTAGGAAGACTCACAGAGTTGACTAAATTGCAACTCTTCCATAATTCTTGGAAAGGCCTCGTGTCCCAAAACCATTTACAGGGTCTTGCAAAACTACGAGTTTTCTCCGTATCTTCAGACACAACTTGCGTTTTTGATGTGACACATGAATGGATTCCTCCATTTAGTCTGTTAGCTATCCAAATCAGCAACTATCTGTTGGGTCCAAAATTTCCAACATGGCTGAGAAATCAGAAAGAACTTTTATCCATTGTCCTCACAAATGTCTCCATTTCAGATACAATACCTGATTGGTTTTGGAAATTGTCGATGCAGATTGACATGCTCTATTTATCTAACAACCAAATTGGCGGTGTTGTTCCCAACTCATTAGGATTTTCCTTGGTGGACTTGAGTTTCAATCACTTGGAAGGCACAATCCCACTCTGGCCTAACATAACGTTTCTCTTTCTGAACAACAATTTATTTTCAGGAGCAATTCCTTGGACTATTGGCAGTGTCATGTCATTGTTAATCACGCTTAATCTTTCTGGGAACTCTCTAAATTGTACCATTCCTTTGTCCATATGTAAATTGAATGCTTTGATTGGAATCTATCTTTCTGACAATCATCTATCTAGACAAATTCCCATCCATTTGGGGGACTTGCGAGTTCTTGGGAGCATAGATCTGTCCCAAAACAATCTCTCTGGCCATGTTCCTGAATTAATGTGCTCGCTATCATTTCTTTATTGGTTGAGGTTGAGTGGTAACAATCTTTCTGGCGAACTCTCTTGGTTGAAGAATTGCAAGAGTTTGAACACTCTTGATCTTGGAGATAACAAATTTTCCTGGAACATACCAGGATGGTGGGAGAAAATCTATCATTGCTTTCAAAGCTCCGAATGCGAGCCAACTTGTTCACCAGAGATATACCTTAACAATTATGTCATTTATCTGGTCTCCACATCTTAGACCTTGCTCATAATTATTTCACAGGATCTATACCTCGCTGTTTGGGAAATTTGTGTGGCTTTAATCGTTTCATCTCTTCCAAAATTGCATTTGTATTTGAATTTTCATCTGAGTCGATTTATATTAATCAAATGGATTTGGTAGTGAAAGGAAGACAATTTGGGTATACCAGCTTTCGAGTAATAATCTATCTGGGGAAATCCTAGAAGAGATAACAAATCTATCAGACTTGGGTACCTTGAATTTATCAAGAAACCAATTGACAAGAAAGATACCAAAGAAAATTGGAGAATTGCGATGGTTAGAAACGCTAGACCTTTCGAGCAACCACATCTCCGGTTCAATTTCTTTAACCATGTCTTCTTTAACATCACTGAGCCATTTGAACTTGTCATACAACAACCTTTCCGGGTCAATTCCTTCAACCAATCAGTTCCAGACTTTCAATGATCCATCCATTTATGAAGGTAACCCGGAACTTTGTGGGCTCCCATTGTCAACCAAGTGTTCTGCTGCAATTGATGTTGATGCAAAAGACAAAGATGGCAAAAAAATGGTGGACAATATGGAAGACGAGTATGATGAGTTGTGGTTCTATCTTAGCACAGGAGTTGGATTCGTTGTAGGATTTTGTGTTGTTTGTGGCACTTTGGTACTAAAAAGGTCTTGGAGACATGCTTATTTTCGTTACCTAGATGTTACCCAGATGAAGTGAAAGATCGGCTCTTTGTAGGTCATTGCAATAAACGTGGCTCACTTTCAAAGGACGACATAGTGACAGTTATTTTGGTGTCTTCTTCTAGTAATGGTTTTGGCTGTATTTTTATTTTTCGCCCTATATCTAAGATTATTAAAGAAGCAAGTATTTGTTAGTTGTTGTCTTTTTGTTTTTGATTTTGTTGTCGTTGTTGTAGTGAACTTGAAACAAGATTCCGGCACAGAAGAGGAGGATCCTCTCCAGATCCCTTCCAGTCACTGTTTTGGACTGGGCGGGACTATTTCGGCTCACGGGACCCACCACATATCCTCCGTTATATAAATTCTCTTACGATGTGCCTCTAAAATCATAGATTTTGCTGAGTTGTTTTGCTATTTTAATGTTTTTCCAGATTGTACTTTGCTTTCCTAATTTGTCAAATATATAAATAATATTGAAAAATTTCCATGAAACTGTGATGTTATGATCACCTTTGTTACTTCTCTTGCTTTTGAATTAAACATTGATTTGAAAACAGTTAGAAAATAAACCGATTACTCTTACACTAAAAAAGATAGGAAAATCTATTTTGGCATTAGCCATCTCTGTTCTAACTATTACTCACAAATTTGAAAAAATTCCAAATAAAATGAAAATACGTCGATTTAGTGGTTTTATCTTTTTTAGCCTGTGCATTTTTTTCCAAATATACATATATATATATATATATATCTTTTCAAGTACATTTTCTTTTTTTACACTGTGTTTGATTGGGGGATTTGAAAAAAATTCCAAGTACCTTTTCACCTACTTTTTCCCTTTCTTTTTTCAAATCCCCCAACCAAACACAATTTTAGACATTGATCAAACAAATATTTAACTCCTTCGTTTCATATGTGAGATCATTCCCCAACCAAATTCACAAATCGCTCTGATACCGTGCTAGAGAAATGACATGTGTTTGATTGGGGGATTTGAAAAAAATTCCAAGTACTTTTTCACCTACCTTTTCCCTTTCTTTTTTCAAATCCCCCAACCAAACACAATTTTAGACATTGATCAAACAAATATTTAACTCCTTCGTTTCATATGTGAGATCATTCCCCAACCAAATTCACAAATCGCTCTGATACCGTGCTAGAGAAATGACAAGTAACTTTGCAAATGATACAATACGTGATCATGCCAATTCAGATGTGAAACTTCCAACAAACGAGATGGATGATGAAAATCTTGGCTTATCTTCCAATACTATTAGGGCTCAACCTCTTCTTCCTCTCACAGAAGCTCAGGTTTCGAGCCAAACTAGGTAGGCAACATGATTCTGACCTCGACAATTTCTGTTTCTCAGATTTGTGAACTCTTCCCCGAGCCATTTCATTACTGAAATCAGAAATTGCTTCAGAAATTTGAGTGCTCTCATTTATTGGTATTGTATGTTTACCTTCTGGCTTTTGATCAGAAGTAATAGTCTTACTTTCTTGTAAATTTTGATATTCATCGACTTGGTTCTCGTTGAAGCTCTTGCTGAAAAGGTCAGCCAGTTTCTTCACATTATCGGTTGGAGAAAGTTCGGATATAGAGGAACCAGGCTGAGATGTTTGTATGAAGCTGCTTTGATGGATGGGCGTGTTGCCCCAACATGGGGTAAAATCTACTTGAGATATTACAAACTAGTCAAAAATAGAAGTTAAAAAGAAGAATGAAATCTGAAAGTAATTCATTATTAGTTGTTGATGCAAAGTAGTATGCTTCCTTGCAAAATTATTGTACAGAAAGATTAGAGTTATCTTACCACCATTAATGCTGAAGAAATCCTCAGAGTCGGATTCTAACCAGAGTTGAGAATCGAAAAACTTCTCTTTACTCCCTGCATAAAATAGCAGGAACACTAGTTAATATTGAAATCTAAAATATAGTTAACCAATGTGTTCTGTATTCATCTGATGAGAAATAATAGTTAAAAGAAGTTCAATAAGAGAAGAGATAAAAATGCGAAATTAGGGTAATCCTATTGTATTTTGAAATTCAAATATATATGAGTTACTATTTCTTGTCCTAGTGCCAGAAACTCCCACCAGCCATTGATAGATTTGACAAGCATCAAACACTCGTGTAGAGAGACAGGTAAGAGATAAAAATGTAAAATGAGGGTAATATTTGTAGGAGATCAACCCAAATTGAGTTGGCAGCCACATGGAAGGGTGGCCAACCCACATGGTAAAAGGAAGGCAAAAGAGGTTGGCATGCGTTGGCAAGTCATGAGGCTTGAGTTGGCAGCCATGAAGCTTGCCATGCGCCAGCAACAAAGGAGAAAGCATGGAGTTGGCCATGTGAAGTCTTCACATGGTGGGACAAAGCTTTCAACTGGACAGCAGCTCAAAGGAGAATATTGGGCTGGCAGCCAACACACCCATGAGGCCTCCTCCACCTTCTGTTTTGGTGTATAAAATGGAATGGTGATGGTGAGTTGAATACACGGCAAACATAGCAAGCAAGAGAGAAACACACTGCTGAGAGAGAGGCACAAAACAGAGAGAGCTAGTGAGAGCTATATTCTGTTTGTGTATCAGAGAGTGTGAGAGAGTGTGTTATATAGAGAGACAGTGAGTTGAGAGTGTGTAATCTCCTCCATTTGTTGACATATAACAACATCGCTCCCGTGGACGTAGGCCGGTTTGCCGAACCACGTTAAAAGTCTTGTGTTTTTGCTTGTGAGTGTCCCCTGGTGTGCCCAAGATCCGCAACAATATTTTGGTAGTTCACTCCTATTTTATCTTTTGAAATTTAAATTGTACATAAATATAAATACATACAAAAATATTTAATATATATAAGTGGGAGGGGGAATTGGGACGGAGTAAATTGCTATCCGTTGTTGTTGTGCTTAAAACTCCCACAACTGCCAACAAAAGTCAAATGTGTGTGTAAAGAGAGGTTATTTCTGCCCAAGTCACAATCACAAATGCATATAAGATAAACATATAAATATATATATATATATTATATATATATATATATATGCAATCTTGGTGTGTCTTATTACAAATTTACAATCTCCTACATTGAGAAATACATATCACATAACCATTTGATAAGATGAGATGAGATTACTTTACAAAAATATGTTGGACCAGATTCATTTTCCATCAAGGGAAAAAATTTATGAAAACAATTTAAGTAATTATTATTACAATGGTGTTGTTATTACAAGCATATTTACTGCCAGCATGATAATACTTCCTTTAATAAAACATAAATACAGAAAAAAAAAATTTACTCTCATTTTAGTGATCTTAGGTAGAATACGATCAAATGGAGATTAAATCCGTTAATTCACTAAGAATATCAAGATTAAACGGTTCATTCACATGAATAGCCAAGGAATTGGAGAAAAAAAATAGAAAAGAAAAAGAAAAGAAGAGAGAATCTAAAATTTTTATTACTATTCCCAAGCCATTAAGTACATTGATACTCATACTCCATCAAGAAATTTGCAATTAAGGAAAATAAATCAAATGAAATATGTATAAAAAAAATTGACGAAATCAAATTCTGACTAAAAAGAAATTGAATAAATATTTTTTTTCCAAAAACAATTAAATCACTAAATTGACACTCAAAACCAATGAATTCTCCTAAAATTTGGTAGTTCATGGTTGTAATCAACTTATAATATAGGTTTCACTAGAAGAAAATACAAATTAATTCTGATGAAGAATCAGTATTATGCTAAAAGAATCAAAAGAAAAGACGTAAGGACTATGATTCGGAAAAAAATCATCGGAAAAACAAACAAACAAACATTTCATAGAAGATATAAATTAATTCACAAGAAGAATCAGAATTATGCTAAAAGAATCAAAACAATAGACATCTCATAACACTATGATTCGGATAAAAATCATTGGAAAAACAAGCAAACATGTCATAGAACATATCGAAGTTAGCTAACATAAGAAAAAATGCTCAAAAAATAACTAAAGAGTGGCTTACTTAGTTAAAGGATTAGTTTGCAATTCTTTTCTTTTCCCTAATTTTTTTCTCAAGAACCAAACAGGGGAAAGAAATCAAAAAATTTAAACCTTAGTTGATTAATCAAGATCAGAATCATACCCAAGTCTCCAAAAGTTGAAACATTGGCCAGAGAAGAGGATTGAGGCTGGATTTGTTCAGTGTTGAGTGTGTTTTTCTTAATGGGTGATTGAACTAATTGAGAGTTCTTATTCCCCCAAACGCAAGAACCCATGTTTACAATGATACCCTTTACATGTCTGAGAATTAAATTTATAGTTTTGTAGAGAGAGAGAGAGAGAGAGAGAGAGAGAGAGAGTGTATAGAGTGATGGGTTTAGGACAATGTAAGACAAAGCAAGCTTTTTTTTGGATTTATGCTAAATACAGAAGCTCATAAATAAATTATAAAAAAAGAAAAGAAAAAAGAAAAAGAAAGGGTATCCAACCAAAATCTACTAAAATATTGGAAGGGAGAAGATTTTGGTCTTCAAAGGGAAGTAATGGAAGCAACGGCATGTGCAAATCAATGATTGCCCATACCCATGTGGGATTTATCATTTTTTTATTTTTTTATTTTTCTTATTTTTTGAACTCATCAAATACCCTGTTTGGTGCATAGTATTTTTTGAATTTATGTCAGAATAGTTTTCATTCATAATTTATGATTTAATTAAGATGAAAGTAGAAGTTATCGAGGTTATCAAAAAAGAGTTGCAAAAACCAAATTATTGTTTGAAAAATTATTTAAGAATTACGTATTTATGTGGTGCTCTTAACCAATGAAATGAGTTAAAAATGATAAAGGGTTGAACTTATTCTACATAACCAATCAAAGATGAGTCGGGACAACTCACCTGTCTCTAGGGGTGTGCGTGGTGTGGGTCGGTGTGGTTTGAGTGAAAAATAGAAATCGTACGGTTGGTGGCGGATTGATAAAAGTGTCACTAGAATTTGCCATTTTTCTTATCAAAAACCAGCGGTTCGGTTGGCAAATAATGGCGGATTTGCTTTAGCGGTTCGGGCGGATTGGCGGTTTATAAAAAAATATAATTCAAATTACAAAACTTAAATCAAAGAGTAAAAAAAAGACGAGAGATACCGTGATATTAAGCATCTTGTGAAGTTTTCTTCTGATGCAGCAAGTGTAGCAACAACATAATAGTATCAACGACTATGCCATCAGTTCATTACAAGCGTCTGTGAAAGCTACAATGGTCAAATACAATACATAAAATTCCCCTCGAGCAGTAATGTAATACTATATTCTATGGTATGAAACAACAAGCAAACTTAAGTAAAAAAGAATTTTTAGAATCTTATAAAACATGATTTAATAGCGGTGCGGGTCGGTGCGGTTTGGAAGAAAAATAGAAACCGGCGGATTGATAAAAGTGTCACTAGAATTTGTCATTTTTCTTACCAAAAATAGGCGGTTCAATTGGCAAATAATAACGAATTTGCCTTGGCGGTGCGATTCGGTGCGGTTTCGGCGGTTTCGGCGATTTTGGCGGTATTATGCACACCCCTACCTGTCTCGTCTACTATTTAGCGGATTAGTATCTAGTAAGTTTCATCTATCTCGCCATTATAATAATTTAGGAATTATTTGGTATATATTACAAAAGTTAAAAAGTTATTAAAAAAATCAAAAAATTCATACTATTTGAAAGAAGTATGTGGAGGAAGCTAGAGGGCAAAATCATAATTTTGCCCTTTGAATTAGTTAGCCCAACAGTGCAACTCAGTCTGCCAACAATGATTCATCCCACTAAAAATATTACCACTAATAGCACTAATGCATTAAAAAAGTAAAAAAAAAAAAAAAACACAACTCCAAGACCAAAACATTACATCATTAATGGCGGGACCCACTGCCACCTAATTAGTGGGAGCACTAATTATTGCTCCCAAGCATTTTTCCTCAGTCTACTTTGCATCTACATTTTCCAAGTTCATACCACGTGGCACAATGTAAGCCACTAATTCCCATTAAAAAAAAATAAATTGAAATGCATACCCCGGCAATATACTTTGCATCTACAATATTTTATTATATATTTTTCTGTAAAAAGTTAAAAAGTTATCCCAAATATATATTTTTCTTTTAATATTTTTTAACTAAAAAGTTAAAAAGTGTACTTATTTAGAACATCCCAAACACTTACTTAATAACTATGAAACTAATGAATAAATATTCTTAGGCTAAGTTTGACATCTTAAAAAAAAATCAAAAAGTCACTATCCTATTTAAGTCACATCATTTTGTTTAAGTCACTATCCTACAAAATGAGGATTGAAAAACCTTCTTTTTATAGGGTTAGCTTGATTTAATTTTATTTATACTTTCAAACACAACTTATTTATTTAAAATAATGAGATTCATAATTTTGGATGAAATCAATACACTTTTTAAACAAAAGAATGCACTATTTTGCACCAATAAAAAATTATATTTTATTCACACTTTTGTGCCTTTGTATATATCTGGGAGTCGTGCATTTCAATTTTTTGGGTCCGCAAGAAACTTTACTTTGCTAACATGCAATTAGATCACCCAATGAAATTTTTAAAACAACAGTATACTTGATATTAGTTAAACATGTTTTCATTACATACTAATCGATCTTGTAAAGCTTTGAGTTGATAACCTGGTAAAGATATTTTAATGAAAATGAAATCAAGCAAATTCTTACATCCTCAAAACAAAACAAAAGAGAGTTCAATTCTTACATGCTCACTCAATATTTAGTTATTCCAAAAATAACTATATGATTTTAGAAACAATCTTAGGAATTACAGAATGATTATTAGTTTTTATTCCAAAGGGGCTTTTTTTTTTTTTTTTTTTTATCCTCCTCTAAACCCTTTTCTTTCATAAATTATCATCATTTCATTACACAAATGGGACCAAGTAAAACTCAAGGCCCAACAAACACGTAAGTCTCATTAATGGGCCTAAACCACATTAACTTAATTAAGCCTATATGATCAAAAATCCAAAAATAACTACATGATTTTACAAACAATCTTGGGTATTACAGAATGATTATTGGAAAGGGACTTTTTTTTGTATCCTCCTAAACCCTCCTCCAGTTCCTCAAAACCCAAACCCGAGATAGGAAAAGCCACTATTAAAACTGACAGAAATTATAATCGATTCACTATATCAGTTACACTGAAGGCCCAACAAATTCGTCAATCTCAGTAATGGGGCTAAACCTCATTCCGAATTCAGCCCAAACCGCATTTTTAGTTTAGCCCATAATCATATGGCCCAGGAAAGATTTTACTAGAATTGGTGGAGTGCGCCAGGCCGAGGCAATAGTGCAACGCCAAGGCGACGCTCGAGAGGCCCCAGCTGCACGCTACTGTGATGGACCCTCCACCTAAAAAAATTAATTTAATATCATGTGAGCCGATGCCCACGTATCAGATATTAAACTGATAAGAACAGATACTACACTTGATCCTTGCAGTAAATGTGGCTCGTTTTCAAAGGACGACATAGAGACGGTTGTTTTGGTGTCTTCTTCTGGTAATGGTTTTGGCTCTACTTTTATTTTCTGCCCTATATTTGAGATTATAAAGAAGCAAGTATTTGTCTGTTGTTGTCTTTTTGTTTTCATTGTTGCAGTGAACTTGAAACAAGGTTACAGGCACAGAAGGAAGGAAGGATGATTTCATAAAACCATTTTATATAAATTCTCTTACGAAGTGCCTCTAAAATCATAGATTTTGCCGAGTTGTTTTGCTATGTTAATGTTTTTCCAGATTGTACTTTGCTTTCCTAATTTGTTGAATATATAAATAATATTGAAGAATTTCCATGAACATGTGATGTTATGATCACCTTTATTACTTCTCTTGCTTTTGAATTAAACATTGATTTAAAAATGGTCTGAAAATAAACTGATTACTCTTACACTAACAAAGATGGGGAAATCTATTTCAGCATTAGCCATCTCTGTTCTGACTATTACTCACAAATTTGAAAAAATTCCAAATAAGATGAAATTAAGTTGATTTAGTGGTTTTATCTTTTTAGCCTGTGCATTTTTTCCAAATATATATACCATTTCAAGTACATTTTCCTCCTTTAGAGATTGATCCAACAAATATTTAACTACTTTGTTTCATATGTGAGATCATTCCCGACCAAATTCACAAATAGCTCTGATACAATTCTCACGCGATCATGCCAACTCAGATGTGATTCTTCAGAAATTTGAGGGCTTCCATTTATTGGTATTGTATGTTTGCCTTCTGGCTTTTGATCAGAAGTAATAGTCTCAATGCCTTGTAAAATTTGATATTCATCGACTTGGTTCTCATTGAAGCTCTCCCTGAAAAGGTCAGCCAGTTTCTTCACATTATTGGTTGAAGAAATATTTTTTTTTTCCAATAACAATTAAATCACTAAATTGACATTCTAAACGAATGAATTCTCCTAAAATTTGGTGGTTCATGGTTGTAATCGACTTATAATATAGGTTTCACTAGAAGAAAATATAAATTAATTCTGATGAAGAATCGGTATTATGCTAAAAGAATCAAAATAAAAGACATAAGGACTATGATTCGGATAGAAAATCTTTGGAAAAGCAAACAAACATTTCATAGAAGATATTGTTGGAACAATTTTCTATGTAAAATAAGTAAGTTGAAACCAAATCAAACAAATAAAATAAATTACTTACAGAATTTATTTACCGAACCGAATAAATATTTAAAAAATCAAGTCTAGTGTGTAACACTCTGTCCTTAAGACAGATTCTCCCTGCTACGGTGCTTACGGATAAATGACGTCTATCTCTCAGGGATATAATGATCTTCACAAATTGTAATAGCACTCCAAACAATTTGTTCAGTGAACAAAACTTGTGTTCTTTACTCTCTAACTTTTTTCTAAATAACTAATATGAAGAATAATGCAAATAGCGTAAGAAATGGAAAGCAAGAAGATGATTTTCGGAATACCGAAATGCTAGAAGATGTCCTGGTATTTATAGGGCCGAACAGGTCTGAAAATCAAACTGAACAGGTATTATTTGAATTAAACAGATCTTATTTCAAATTGAACAGGTGCAGAACCAGTTATAGATCTGTTGCAAACTGCTGGGCAGTTTTAAACTTGTATGGAAGAAACTGAATCTGTCCGGAACTTCTGGGCAGTTTAGAGCAGATGGAAATTAGACCAGAGGAGGCTTATTTGGACAGAAAAATTTGGAGCAAAAATTAAATTAATTTTTTCCACAAGAATTTAGTGAAAAAATTCAAATAAATTTTATCTAAAAAATTAATGTTAGGACCCAACTTGACCAAACCGGATGGCGGCGGCGCATCCAACCTAAATGTTGCCACTTAGAACTTATATACACACATAAGTTCTCTTTAAGTTTCAATGTTGGATAATCCATTTCAAAGAAACCCACATTTTACTTATTACTTTTCCAAAAATGACGACAAGTTCCCATTTACTCATAAATGGTTTTGACGAACCATCTTTACCTTGTGACTTGTCATGTGGCGAGGAACACGTCACATCTTTAGACCCACCCCAAAAGATGTTTGGAACTCACTCGAATTTGGGCTCAAAGTTAGCCCAAAATAAGCTTATAAAAACCAAAAATACCAACAGATATAAATTAATTCACAAGAAGAATCAGAATTATGCTAAAAGAATCAAAACAAAATACATCTCAGGACACTATGATTCGGATAAAAATCATTGGAAAAACAAACAAACATGTCATAGAACATATCAAAGTTAGCTAACATAAGAAAAAATGCTCAAAAAATAACTAAAGAGTGGCTTACTTTGTTAAAGGATTAGTTTGCAATTCTTTTCTTTTCCCTAATTTTTTTCTCAGGAACCAAACAGGGGAAAGAAATCAAAAAATTTAAACCCTAGTTGAGTAATCAAGATCAGAATCATACCCAAGCCTCCAATATTACAATATAAGGTAATGACAATATAAGGTGAAGTTAGAGAACCCAACACTAAGAAAATAAGAGAAATTATATATATTACGGGCAAATATGTAAACTGACACAAATATAATGGTAAATATGTATTTTCATGTAATCTCAAAGAGAAGGCAATTGTAATTATATGCCAATTGTAAAATTTCCACAACTTTATATTTCACAACTCTCATATAGTTTACTGGAAAAATAAAATGGTATATACAACAACCTAATATTTCACAATCTCTCATATATTTCCAAAACTTCATATTTCACAATCTCTCATATATTTCACAATCTCTCATAATTCAACCACCTAATATTTCAACAGCAAAATGTGCCAATCTGGTCTTTCACAACAAGGCAACAAACGGAATTGCCATGAAACAATTTATTAGTCGATTAATAGCTCACTTCGGAATGGTGTATACATTACACATCCTTGACCAAGTAGAGACATTGAGTTTTCAGCGAGCCATTGCTATAGCCATTTCATTAGGAATTAATGATCTCTTGACAATACCTTTGAAAGGATGGCTCGCAAATGGATCTTCCACTTCATATTTAATCCAATTGGTTCATTGAACTGCATCTCCATCTTCAATTCATCTGACAATTCTTTCAAAATCCTCGCTTTTGTCCTCCTTTGAGTTCTCCAATTTCTGCACTTGAGAGGCCATTTGACCCAATAGTCTCTCCTTCACATTCTTCATGTTATCCACCAATCCTTTCAAAACCTTGTTTTTCTCCCTCCTCTAGAAAACAAAGAAAAACGAACAAAATCATCATCAACTGATGAGAAAACATATAATTCACCAAGCGTACAATAATATTCTTCAAAAACAAAAGAAACAAACAATTAGTTACACACGCATCTAAGATTAAGGATAAAAGACACAAGTAACCAGATATATACTGGACTCGCCTAATGGTCAAAACTTTATCACTTCCAAAAATGGGTGCATATAATCCAAAATGCTTGATTTCTTAATTTGACTAATTTTAGGCCAATTGCATGACTAAAAAGAACGAGTTGTGTTACATCCCCTAGTTTTGTTCCTCTAATTTCATTTCTAATGACGTGGACACTCCTCTCCCTATCATCTTTAGCCTCACCAGTTCCACATCATTACGGATCGAATTGGAGAAGCAAAATTAGAGGAATGAATCATTTTCATATAAAAATAATAGAAATTTGTTCTACATCACAAAGACACCATTGGCCAAAGCATAGAAACATACACAAAGGCATAATCAAAATGAAAATATGGGAAGTAAGCCAAAAAAGAAAAGGGGAATTAGTTACCATGAGATGAAGAAGGTGATTGAGTTGGGTTAAATCATCGTCGACAGGAAGGCACCCATTCATCCAACTCCATGGTAGTATGAGGTCCACATAAATGTTTCGTAACCTTCGCAAAGAACTTTTGTTGCCCATTCGATGCGCCCAATGCTTGAAACGTAATGAGGTAGTGAAATTGATACCCTTAAAAATTGGAGAGTAGGCTGATTCTGAACAACACAAATCAATAGAGATGGGCTCAATATTAGTAATATTTATTTCTTATTCAAGTTTTACTACACACAGGGAAAACAGTACCAAAAGAGCGATGTAGGATGTAGGGTATTTAACACATTCTTTACTAGTAACATAAAATTCTCAAACTCATCTCTGATTACACCACATTAATAAACTCAAAATATGAAAGTATTGACTCACTAAATATCTATTTTCCAGGTGGCCTACACACTCGAATCTTATGTTAGGTGGTGATTCTAAATAAATATTTCAAGAATCTGAGCAAAGCAATAAAATTAACAATATTTCAAATATCGTTATTAAAACACAGATTTTTTCTAATAATTATTGAAAGTGAAAATTCAAGTGCTGACACCCATGCTGCTTTTTAACCATGATCCATCAATGAAGACCTTATGACTATTTCCAGCTGTAGACCAATTAGGAGAACTAGTAACAGTAAAGGATTTTGGATTATTAAAGTTTAATTTGGCATTGGTTACGATAGTCAACTTTTTTTTGTTAGGACTTTTTTAGTCTTGTTTGGTTTTTGTTTTTGGTTTTTTTTTTTACTTTTGTGAGAAAAAAGTGTAATGATTATGGTTTAAATGTGACATTTTGTCTTATTGACTTATATAGCATATTTTGTCTTTTTGTGTTTTTTTAGCCCCAAAATGTTTACCAAACAAGGACTAAGAAAGTCTGCACGTTAAACACTGAGTCATCCAACTCGTTCAATACAAAATCTCGTCAAAGGTGCAAAGCACTCAGGTGTTGAATAAACTGCAGCGAGCGTTTTGAGAGGATTAGGCTGGGAATGTTTAAATGCCAGTTGATTTTGAATGAGCCAAATAGCACAAAGGATGGCAACAGATTAAACCAACCCATTCCGAAAACCAATCTTTAATACTGTATTTGGTTGGGGGATTTAAAAAGGGATTTGGTAAGGAAAAAGACAAAGTTAGGTGAAATGTAAATAAAATATACTTAGATTTCACTTAGTTTTACACATATTTTCCCTTTCTCTTCTCAAAACTCTCCCCAAATCTCCCAACTAAAGATAGCATAAAGGATAAAGGGGTACCCGTATTAAAATCAAATCCCAAAACAGATCCTGGCCAAACCAATTTTAAGAAAGGACATTCAAAGCAAATATGTTCTATCATCTCCTCCTCCTCAAGATTACATCTCGCACAAATCTGACCCAATTGGAAACCTCTAGGCAGGGCCGGCCTTGATGTTTTCAAGACCTAAGGTGGAATCTTAAAATTGGAGCCCTTCGTCTATAATAATAAAAAAAATATTTATTTAAATTTTTTTAATCTAAAAGTGAAAAATGTCAATTCAAAGTTAATATAGTGCGAGTCATATTTATAATGAATAAGATCTAAAAATATATATTTTTTAACTTGGTCTTTAAGAGAGAAACATTTTTAAAAAAATAAATTTAGAATTCATTAAATTTGAATTTGATGAAAATTTAAAAAGATATTGAAGATATATATATATATATATATAAAATTCCAGACGGAGAGGAAATTCCAAACAAAGGAATCTTGATTTTCTATTCTAACGAATCCAGGTCTAACATTAAACATCCAGGTGAGGGGATTTGGGGAATATGAACAGCCAACATATATATAAAGTCTTGATAAGGCGTGGGAGACCTTGAAATTCTGTTTTCCACAAAACGGAATCAATAGAGTTTCCATTGCCCACCACCCAAGGCAGGCAGTCCCTTACAAGGGTTTTATCTCTTCACAAAAAAAATTTCAACATTCAGAGCAATTCTGGACAAAGTCCACAAAATACACTAGCGTAATCAAGGGTTCATATCTCTCTCTCTCTCTCTCTCTGTCACTCTACACACTTTTCCTTCTCTTTCGTCTCCAATTCTCACTCTACACACTTTTCCTTCTCTTTCATCATTTCCTCAACTCTCACCATCATTCTTAGTCACACACACACCCAGAACCGACAGTCCTTCCCAGGTATGCGATTTCTCATTGTTCTTTAATTTTTATTTTTCTTGGTCACTCTGTGTTTGATTTGATTTGATTTGATTGAGGGATTAACAAGTAAGAAAAAATATGTTGAACCTCTCCTACCACTTTGAAGAATGATGTTTTCACTAATTTTCTCCTCATTTTATTTTAATAAATATTAATGCAAAAAAATATATGAAGGAAATTTTAACAAGTTAAATACCAGATGAGTTCAATTAGTTTGATTGATTTTACCACCCTAGTCATGGGCAATTCTTAAGTAGTACAACTAAGACCACCCATTTTTGAATAATTCTACATATACTAATAAGCTTACAAAAAATACAAGAAGCCAAATGTGATTAGTTGTCAAAAAAACAATGACATTTAATTATCCAATGATATTTGAACATGTATGTTTTTAGTAAGATTGTTAGTAAGAGTTTAACTAGATGTAGCATTTCTCCCCATTTTTTCACGGTAAGGAAAGTCTTACCGACTCTCACTTTCTCTTAGCTAGTGTGCTTCGCGAATGTGGACTATACAAGTAGTATAATTACTTGAACTGTCTATCAATGCATATAAATATATCTTCAGATAATCTTATGTTTACCAAGTATTGATGCTATCTTTTGGCAGTGCTTAATTTGAAGCAAAGATGACTGGTCAAAGTATATATACTACCACCTTTAATCTTACTGTTTTTCTTTTTCTCTCATTGCTTTCACAATTTGTTTCTCTTGAAACCAGTAGATTCAATTCCAATGATGGTAATTTAACCACGCGTTGCATTGAATTCGAGAGGAAAGCCCTTCTTAAATTCAAAGAAGGACTCACAGATCCTTCTGGTCGGCTTTCTTCTTGGGTTGGCAAAGATTGCTGTCGATGGAAGGGTGTGAGCTGCAACAAACACACTGGCAACATTTTCAAGATTGACCTCAGAAACCAAGGAGGAGAATATTGCAGTTTGTTCGAAGGACTTGCAGACAATAACTCCTCATCTTGTTTAGGAGGTGAGATAAGTCCTTCTTTGCTCAACTTAAGGTATTTAAGTTACTTGGATCTAAGCATGAATAATTTCCATGGAATCACAATCCCAAATTTCATCGGTTCACTTGAGAAATTGAGTTATCTCAGACTTTCTCAATCAAATTTCGGTGGAATGGTTCCGTCTCATCTTGGAAATCTGTCAAACTTGCAATATCTTGACCTCTCTCTCTCTACATTTGTTTTTTACTACAATATTTGGGCATCAGATTTAAACTGGCTTGTTGGCCTATCTTCTTTGAAGTATCTTAATCTTGGTGGTGTGAACCTGAGTGAAGCAACAGATTGGTTGCATTCAGTTAATACCATGCCCTCTTTGTCTGAGTTACACTTGTTTGATTGTCAACTCCCCAACTTTCCAAAATCTATACCGAATATAAATTTTACTTCCCTCTTGGTCCTCGATCTCTCTTCTAACGAGTCTAACTCTTCGTTACCTCTATGGCCTTTCAATATTAGTACTCTTGTGGAATTCAATGTCAGTTTAAACAATTTTACGGGTTCCATTGTCAATGCTGCTTTGGGAAGCTATCATAACTTGCAATCACTAGATTTATCTTCTAACTCTGTTAGTAGTGACATAAGTGAACTTATAGAGGGATTGTCTGGGTGTTGTAACAGTAGCTTGAAGGAGTTGATATTGGGGTCCAACAAATTTAATGGAAAGTTGCCCGATTCGTTGGGACACTTGAATTATTTGAGATCGCTTGTACTGAATGATAATCTGATCTCAGGTCCAATTCCAGAATCTGTTGGAAGGTTGTTTTTTCTAAAGGAATTGGACCTTTCTTTTAATGAGATGAATGGCTCTATCCCTGCAAGTTTAGGAAGACTCACAGAGTTGACTAAATTGCAACTCTTCCATAATTCTTGGAAAGGCCTCTTGTCCCAAAACCATTTACAGGGTCTTGCAAAACTACGAGTTTTCTCCGTATCTTCGGACACAACTTGCATTTTTGATGTGACACATGAATGGGTTCCTCCATTTAGCCTGTTAGCTATCCGAATCAGTAACTATCTGTTGGGTCCAAAATTTCCAACATGGCTGAGAAATCAGAAAGAACTTTCATCCATAGTCCTCACAAATGTCTCCATTTCAGATACAATACCTGACTGGTTTTGGAAATTGTCGATGCAGATTGACATGCTCGATTTATCTCACAACCAAATTGTCGGTGTTGTTCCCAACTCATTGGGAATTTCCTTTGTGGACTTGAGTTTCAATCGCCTGGAAGGCACAATCCCACTCTGGCCTAACGTAAAGTTTCTTTTTCTGAACAGCAATTTATTTTCAGGAGCAATTCCTTTGAATATTGGCATTGTCATGTCATCGTTGATCATTCTTAATCTTTCCGGGAACTCTCTAAATGGTACCATTCCTTTGTCCGTATGTAAATTGAAAGTTTTGTATGGTCTCTATCTTTCGGACAATCATCTATCTGGACAAATTCCCATCCATTTGGACATGCGTGCTCTTGGGGGAATAGATCTGTCCCAAAACAATCTCTCTGGCCATGTTCCTGAATCAATGTGCTCGCTACCGTTTCTTGATTGGTTGAGGTTGAGTGGTAACAATCTTTCTGGCGAACTCTCTTGGTTGAAGAATTGCAAGAGTTTGTACACTCTTGATCTTGGAGATAACAAATTTTCCGGGAACATACCAGGATGGTTGGGAGAAAATCTTTCATTGCTTTCCAAGCTCCGAATGCGATCCAACTTGTTCACTGGAGATATACCTCAACAGCTATGTCTTTTGTCTGATCTCCACATCTTAGACCTTGCTCATAACTATTTTACAGGATCTATACCTCGCTGTTTGGGAAATTTGAGCGGCTTTAATCGTTTCACCTCTGCCAATATTCCATTTGCATATCGATTTTTTTATACTTATCAAATGGATTTAGTAGTGAAAGGAAGACAATTTGGGTATACCCTCACGCTTGAGCTCGTTAATGTTATAGACCTTTCAAGCAATAATCTAGTTGGGGAAATCCCAGAAGAGTTAACAAATCTTTCAGACTTGGGTACCTTGAATTTATCAAGAAACCAATTGACAGGAAAGATACCAGAGAAAATTGGAGAACTCCGATGGTTAGAAACACTAGACCTTTCAAGCAACCACCTCTCTGGTGAAATTCCTTCAACCATGTCTTCTTTAACATCACTGAGCCATTTGAACTTGTCATACAACAACTTTTCTGGATCAATTCCTTCAACCAACCAGTTCCAGACTTTCAATGATCCATCCATTTATGAAGGTAACCCAAAACTTTGTGGGCTCCCATTGTCAACCAAGTGTTCCATTGCAACTGATGTTGATACAAAAGACAAAGATGGCAAGAAAAAGGAGGACGATAACAAAGACAAGTATGATGAGTTGTGGTTCTATCTTAGCACAGGAATTGGATTCATTGTAGGATTTTGGGTCGTTTGTGGCACTTTGGTACTAAAAAGGTCTTGGAGACATGCTTATTTTCGATACCTAGATGAAGTGAAAGATCGTCTCTTTGTGGTCATTGCAGTAAATGTGGCTCGTTTTCAAAGGACGACATAGAGATGGTTGTTTTGGTGTCTTCTTATGGTAATGATTTTGGCTCTCTTTTTATTTTTTACCCTATATTTGAGATTATGGTTGTTGATAGTATTTGTTAGTTGTCGTCTTTTCGTTTTTGATTTTGTTGTCATTGTTGCAGTGAACTTGAAACAAACAAAGGTTACAGGCATAGAAGGAAGGAAGGAAGGAAGGATGATTTCATAAAACCGTTAAAAATTATGATGTGTCTTTTAGATCTTGGTTTTGCTGAGTTGTTTTGTTATGTTAATGTTTTTCCAGATTGTACCTTGCTTTTCTAATTTGTCGAACATATAAATAACATTAGAGGATTTCCATGAAAATGTGATGTTATGATCACCTTATTCCTTCTCTTGCTCTCTGAATTAAAACATTGATTTGAAAACAGTATGCAAGTAAGCTGATTACTCTCACACTAAAAAGGATGGTGTTAGGTTTTTGTAATTGGCAATCCCGTTTAATAAAACTCTATTCAGTTGTATTTTTATTCCCTCTATTGTATCTATGAGTTAGGAGGGTTTAGATGCGAATCCAACCTCGAGTTGTGGCTGTGTAAAGGAGTTTGTTCTGAAATTTCGTATCTTGACTTGAACATTCTTTGTTTGCCACTTCGCTGACTAAGCACGGGGATTGATCAGTCTTTTATGTGCTCGAGCGGTGAAGTCATTCATCCAGTATCTCTGCTTACATTCTGAACTTCTGGAAAACATGATTTATAGCTCAAACGGTAGATGTTGCACTCGAACGGTTGGGTTATATGTGAGCATCGTCTTTAGTCAACTGCTCGAGCGGTAAAGTGAGTGCTCGAGCGGTCTTCGCGGCTCTATTTAGTATAAGGTGTGTTGTTTGTTATTTTAAAGTTTAACCCATCCAGATTTTTAGAGAAGAAGAAAAAAACAAAATGTTCTATATTGGAGGATGTTTTATATGAGTTTCTATGATGTATAGAAGGTGATCGATTGATCAACGAACTACACACTACAAAAAAATTAAAGTTTGAAAGACCAAAATATAGGGATAAAATTATTTCTTAGGGACCAAATATTTTTGTTACCAAAAGTGTCGGCATTATACTTTTAGCAAAGAAAATTGGACATTAGTGATAAATTATTATCCTTTTGAGACTAAATTTTTTGTCTCAAAAAATAAATTACTTTGAGACTAAATTATTTTGTCTCTAAAAGTCTATTTATTAGTGACATTTTCAAAATTATCGCTAAAAGTCTTGTTTTTGATTTTTCGGGATGACTTTTTAGTGACTATCCTCATGACGATAAAAATTGGTCCCTAAATGTTTTTTACAACAAAATTTTCACTTTTAGAGATCAAAAAATTTGGTCTCTAAAACTCTTATATGTTGTAGTGACATATTGACAAATATAAGGGTTGGGTTGGTTTTATTCTTTTATTCACAAAAAGTGAGAGGTGTTCATTAGTGAATTCTAGGTAACTTGGGTCTAAAACTTTAGTGGAGTTTGGAGTGACTCATTATTGTGGATTTCGGAGTATTACTCTCGGAGCATTGAATAATTACTCATAGAAGACAGAACAATAACATATATTTAAAAACAAAAATTGAATAAATTTTGAAAATTTTATTGATCTAAAAATTATTTATCACAAATTCCTTCAATTGAAACAACGCTGGATTCATGAATACTCACAAAGCTTCTATAATGCTGCTCTTTTGGAATGAAGGCTCCCATTTTTTATTGGACTAGGAAAATGACCCATTGGCAATTGCCCAATGTGGAGTCGATGATTCTATCGCCTTTGAAATAGCGCAGTAAAGTACCAGCTGCTCAGAATTGGCTCTAATTAGCTACACTTTTGGGCGTCTCGAAAGTCTCTCCCGTCCTATATTTACAAACAAGTAGTGGTACAACTACAATCACCCATTTTTACTGGAAAGTAAGTAGAAACCTCCTTATGCAAAAAAGACAAAGTAGCCGGACCCATTACACGAATGATGGGTTGACACATCAGGTGGTGCAATGAAGGTGGTATAAAGAGATGGTAAATGTAACATTATTCCTTAATCTATCCAAATATTTCACAAGCAAAAATGTTATGAATCCACTTTTATCAATTCATAATTTACCCCGAATGTGTTGTGCTTGTGTGGTGGAGATTAAATTGACCAAATGTGGGGTACGGAAAATGAATTTGAACCATTAATTCCTTTTGTCTGAGTAAATTCTAGGTTCATGTGGTGTTGTTTCACAGGTGACTAAACCAATCATCACTTTCTCCTAGCTGGTGCTATCAATGCATCTTCTTATATATATTGAGAAATTCATATGTTTACCACGCATTGATGCTATGTTTTGGTGGTGCTTAATTTGAAGCAAAGATGACTAGTCAGAGTATATACACCATACTTAATCTTACTGTTTTTCTTTTTCTTTCATTGCTCTCTCAATTTGTTTCCCTCAAAACCAGTAGATTCAATTCCAATTATGGTAATTTAACCACACGGTGCATTGAATTTGAGGGGCAACGTTTTCAAGATTGACCTCAGAAACTGGGGAGAATATTGCAGTTTGTTTGAAGGACTTGCAGACAATTATTACTCCTCATCATGTTTGGGAGGTGAGATAAGTCCTTCTTTGCTCGACTAAAAGTAATTTTAGTTACAAAACTTAGCTGCTTTGTCTGCTTGCAGCTTTTGCTTTAGCATGGGCTACACCAACTACCTGCCTGGTAACCTTCATAACACAAACACAATAAAAAAAACATTACATAATAGTTTAATATCCAAAATAATCGACCGCCGATCCCATGCTATTGCCGAGGATTTTACAAGGTCATTAAGCAGTAATTGAGAATCTGTGTAGATATAAGCGACCCGGACGTTGTGATCCACACACCACTTAACTGCTCCCCAACATGCCTTTGCTTCGGCCACAGCAGCTGATAATGTAAAAAAAGATGTAGACCCTGTTGCAATCTGGTTTTTTAACCCTGATCCATCAATGAAGACCTTATGAATATTTCCAGCGGTAGACCAATTAGGAGAACTAGGAACAGCAAAAAGGACTTTGGATTATTAAGAACTAGCATATCACCCGTGCTATGCACGGATTGTGTTTACAATTATCTATATATATGAATTGTGATTTTTAAATGTTTTCTTTTTTTTTATTTTAAATGTCTTCTTTTTTTCTTTTTTTATATTATATTAAAATTTAATATTTTGATAATAATCATATGTGTTGGACTTTTTAAGGAATTAAATGTCTTTTCTTTTTTATTATATTATATTAAAGTTTAATATTTTGATAATAATCATATGTGTTAAACTTTTCAAGAATTTTTTTTTATACTTGTTTTTAAGGCATTAAAGTGTTATTATGAGGAATAATAATCATATGTGTTGGGACGTTTCAAGGAATTCATATGTGTTGGATTTCAAAGAATTTTTTTATACTTGTTCTTAATGCATTAAAGTGTTATTATGAGGGTAAGACTTGGAAGTTGGGAGGAATTAATAAATGCTAAGAATTTTTAAAAAAAAAATCAAAAAATTAGGAATTTTAGATTGGGAGATTGAAACTCTCACAATGCTTAGAGTTAAAAACTCCCTTTTGCTTAATATATGGTATAGAAGTCTGCATGTTAAACACTGAGTCATCCAACTCCTTCAATACCGAATTTCGCCAAAGGTGTAAAGCACTCAGGTGTTGAATAGACTGCAGCTTTTTGAGAGGATTAGGCTGAGAATGTTTAAATGTCAGTTGATTTAGATTAAGCCAAATAGAGCCCATAAGATGGTAACAGATTAAACCATCTATTCCGAAAACCTATGTTTAAGACTCTGTTTGGTTTATAGATTTAAGGAGAAATTTGAAAAGGAAAAATAAATATGTAAGTAAAATGTAAATAAAATATAATTACACGTCACATCTGTTTCACACACCTTTTTCTTTTTACCTTCTTAATATCACCCCAAATCCACAAATCAAGCACAACCTAAAGGATAAAGGGGTACTCAAAACAGGTCTGGCCAAACCAATTTTGGGAAAGGACATTCAAAGCAAAAATGTTCTACCAAGATTACATCTCGCACATATCTGATCCAATTGGAAACCTCTACGACCCAATACAGCTTTAACTGGTAATATATTATGGAGCATTTTCCAAATGAAAAGGATCCATTTAGGGGGATAGATAGAGGAAAACCAAAGATAGCGTTTGGTTTTGGATAAAAAAAAATTTAAAATTCTTTTCAAAATCCATAATCAAACAAATTTTTCAAAACTCTTTTTAAAACTCATAACTAAACTCTTTTCAAAACTCTATTTTAAAATTAAAAAAAAATTCAAAAAATATATTTTTTATTTTTATTTTTCAAAAATGTTTTTTTTATTTTTTTCAAAAAATATATATTTTTTTTTATTTTTGAAGAAAAATATTTTTTCTTTTTTTAAAAAATATTTTGTTATTTTTTTAAGTATTGACCAAATAATTTGTTATGATTTAGATATATATGGGTGATCCAATTTTTAAAATTTTTGAAAAAAAGTAAATATTAAATATTTAAAAATATATTCAAAAATAAAAATTATATATTTAAAATAAAATTTATACATTTAAAATAAAAAAATAAATTTTTTAAATATTTTAAAAAATACAGTACACAAATGTAGTAAATATAACGCACATTAAAAACAATAAATAAATATATTTACCCTAAAAAATAAAATTAAGAAATTTTTTAAATATTTAAAAAAATAAACCCAAAACAATTTCAAAATACAACTCAAAACTCAAGGCTGTGTTTGGTAGTGTTTTGTAAAATTAATTCCACTCTTACATTTTAATGCTATGTTTAGTTTGAGTTTTCAAATTATGATTCCAAATCAATTTCAAAATACCTTTTGAAAACATGTTTGGTAAAGCAGAAATTTTTTGAATTTTTGGTCTACCCGGTCGTCCGCTTCGGACATCCTCTCGGATGTCCGGTTGGTTGACCGAAATAGTACTCTTTTTTTTTTTTGCAATTGCCAATCGCCACCTGTTAGTTTGAAAAAAAAAATTATATTTGTTTTTGATGTTTTTTAACTATAGAAATTATTTTTTTAGACCAAAATGACAATATTTTTTTGAATTGAATTTGGTTATGAATTTTCAATAGAGTTTTGAGTTGTGTGTTTGGTTATGAGTTATAAGTTTTTCAATTATGTTTTGAAAACTCTTTTCAAAACTCATAACAAAATAATTTTTCTCATTTCACATGTCACATCAAAAAATCAAAACTCAATTCAAAACTCATAACTAAACAAATTTTCTCTTTTCAAATTATAATTTGAAAACTCACAAATTCAAAATACAACTCTATTATCAAAT